TCATTTTTGCCTACATGGACCCGCCTTCCTTTGACGACTCCTGAGATATAGTGGAAACATTTTGTTATGGTGGAGAGTGGGGAGTGAAAAGATGAATGCAGCGGAGAACGACCGCATGAATCGGAATCCACAACGAGAAAGACAGACGACCGAGAAAGAAAGGCTCCACGTTTTCCAAGTTGTTGATCTTAGCGTGCTAGCCGCAGCTGAATTTCGGTATAGTGATAATGCTTTCTTTCTCTTCTTAGCGCTCTGCTCCCCATTGTATAGTAAGGGGAACTCTAGGTATAGTATAGTAAGGGGAACTCTGGTTGCGGGTCTATTTTCTCTGACTTTACTCAGGTTGACCTACTTGACTCAGCGGTTAGAGTATCGCTTTCATATGACGAGAATCATTGGTTCAAATCCAATAGTAGGTAAAACCGACCGAAACCCCAGCTTTTGCCAGCATGAGAGCAAGCACAAACTGGCAGCAAGGAAGGTGAATGACCAAAGCATCGGTTGCTTCCACTTGTGGCCTTCTTTTCTTCGACCGCCTTGATGCCTTAATATCAAGGAGCCACCCCCCTCTCTTCTTCTCTTCATGTATGTGGGCTGCCTCGTCCTGAATAGACGAACAAGAACAAGCAAAGGCACGAGAGAGTGGATACTCAACTCACCTCTTCGACAATTAGGTGAAGATAAGGGGAGGGGGGCCGAAAACCCCAACGTTCAACCTTTCACTGCGCCACACGATTCTTTCGCCAAGCGCTCTCTCAGACGTTTCCACTCCTGCCCCCGCAAGAAAAGAGGTTTCATTCAAGATACTAGGTGACCAAATGAAAGTGAACAGCCCTGAGCAAATCTTCCTTAGAGCTTACCCTTTGTTTCGACTCTTTCTCTCTTACAAAGGCAAAAGAATATCTGATTTTTCTTCTATGGACCCCTTGGACCAACGACCAATTAGGTTATGATGCATGCGTGCACATTCACTTCTCAAAAGTGGGTTCCAAACCTGGGTGGCACTATGTAACTCAATCCATGAGAGGTCGTTGGGTGGCTTTTTTTTATTTCAGAATAGTCGAGGAGACTTTTAGGGGATTTTGTCGAGATAAGGGCTTGCGTCGAGTAGTCGTAAGGTCTCAGACTCGCAGAATACAAGTGAAAAGTATCTCGAGGTTTCGCTGCTTTGAAACATTTTCTAAATCTCGCTAAAATCGTGGTTTTTCTCTCAAAACTCGGGAGGTTCCGCCAGAAAGAGTTTGGGATTCAATCGTTTGGTCTTTTGAAGTTCCTTGAGAACCTGATTGAAGAAAACCCGCATTTTGTAATACATGTAGATCTGCAGATCCAGTCTTTGAAGTTATTCGTTTGTGTTTCGATTCCACAGTTCAGACGGAGGGAGACGTTGTTGAGTATGTGGCTTGACTTACTCCAAGGTGACTCAAGTCTTGATTGAGCAGTCATTTTTCGTAGTCACGGGTCTTGCTTTAGCACCATTTCCCATTAGAAACTGTAGAGGGCGGTTTGTGACCTTCCAATTTTCTAGGGGGTCATGAGAGAGAGCAAAAGGATGCATCCATTTCTAGGCTAATTGTCTTGTGGATGCTATCCATGAGGTAGTTAGACACGCCCCTTGGGGGATTGGGTCTTTTAAAAGGACTCCATCTGCAGGGCACAAACAAATTCAGGGAAAGCATGCTGTTTTTCTGAGGTTGGGTTTTGAGATGAGAGTAGGATACACACAAGAAATCCGTTTTCTAGAGAGAGTAGAGTGATCTCAAAGAGTTTTCTATTTTCATATTTGAAACGCTTTAGATATTTCTATCAATATAGATACTGTTTTTCGAATCAAATCAAACTCTCTTTCTCATTTACTACCACTCAACAACAGCAGGTCTCAGCTCTGCACATTCCTATCAATTTGTTCTTTCTTTCAGCTAAAGATGGTTATCATCTGGTATGAGAGTCCAGGTTATGCAGATATGGTAGCGATACAATCTTCTGGATCTATAGTTGCTGATATGATTACTGCATTAACGCATACGATTGTCAAGGATCGCAAAATGGAATAGAACCTCTAAATGTATATGTTTGGAAGATGAGAATACAGTTGCTTCTCAAAGAACAGGATCCTTTTTTTTTCATTCTTGAGAAAAGAGACGCAGATCTGGCGCTAATGGCTTCTTCAATCAAGTGAGTGATGTTGTTGTAGCCAAACAACAAAAGAAAGCATATGAACAGCATCGATAGTTGTAGACGAGAAACAAAAAGTTCTTCGAAGCTGTGCTAATGGTGGTCAAGGATAAGTACTCGTTTCAGTGGGACACATTGAGTTCGCATGAGAAAGATGGGAGACTCCCCTGTACCTCTTTAGGGGAATGTATGAGTCAGTGACAATGGTAAACATTTTCTTCGGCAATGGTTTTTTCCAAGCAAGATGCTTGAAGGGACGAGCATGTATCAGCACTTAGACAAGATGAAGAAGATTCTCAAAGAATTTTTAGGAGAGTCAACACTATATAAAAGAGTGATCAGTGACCGGGAAGTTCGCTTCAGTCATTTGAGTCTTTGACAACCACTCTCTCCTGTGAAACTCCTCCTTGTTCTATGATTGATCCTCCCATTTTCTTTAGGCTCCGGCTGAAAAGAGATTTGAACAGCAGTTTGAAAAGACTAATGCTGTGCAAAAGAATATGTTTCAAAACAAAGAATAAGCACTGAGAAGGACCTGAAAAACATAGATAGAGTGTTGGTCCTGCAAGAAGAAAGGTCACTTGAGTTTTGAGTGCTGGGTAAAGGGAAACAAAGAGCCATGATGATCAGAAAAAGGTAGTCTTGGTCACTACATTGGCCCTGTTTGCCAACATTTCCAAATAGTTGGCGGATCGGGTCCTCGCATCAGATTTTCTTCCGAAAGGCAGAATTTGGTACAGATATGATTGAAGAACTGGTTCTTCATATATGGGCAATGGCACTTCGACTGTAATCAGAGGCCGAGGGAATGTGTAATTGTTGTTGGAAAACAGAAAGTCATAAGACAAATGTTGATATTTTCTTTGTTTTTTGTATCTGAAAACTACTCTCGATGATCAGAGCCTTGACTTTGTTATTAGTAAAGCGCGGGAGCGTTCTAGCAGCTTGCTTCAAAAAGCTTGACTTGACTTTATTATTATTCAATCAAAGGAGAAAGGCTTTTTTATAGATGTTGAAGAGGTAAGGCAGGGGCTGCTTCTTAGCGCTCCAAGAAATGAGATTCCGACCAAGAACAAAAGCCTGAGGTAGAGTGTCGGTCGTCAGGGCAGCCTGCCTTTTTAAGAGTAGGGGCTGAATAGTTTCATTCTAAAGGAAAGCGAAGAATCCACCTTTAGTCAATAGGAGCCCTACTTCCCTCTTTGGGACCTCATCACTGAAATGAAAGCTCAAAGAAATTGCTTGATGAGTTGTCGGGCGTAGCACAGGGCAGTCTCGATGAGATAAGAATTCCATTTTTTAGTATACGTTGTTTGGGTTAGGCGAAGTTCAGAGGTAGAGCGAGATACCTCCATGCCGAGAAAGTAAAACAGCGGATGAAAGAGGAAGAGAAATTGGTTGTCAAGCTCCTTGATGAAATCGAATCTAAGAGAAGAATCATTCCCGGTTAAAATGTTTCACGTATATAAGAAGGATGAGGCAACGATCATGACGTTGACAAACAAAATCTCAGAATCCCCATGGTTCTACTGTAGCCAAAACCCTTTATCCAAAATCAAGCAGTGAGAAACAAGCTAAATTTCTTCAAGCAGGGCCCCCTTCTTAGCTCTTGGTGCCTGCTTTAGCCAATCAAAGCATATAGATCCGTAAATAGCTTTATTGAGCTTGCATACCAACAAACAAGTTATAGGATTCCTAGGAGAAGATTAGCCTGGAGTTAGAGGAGGCTGAATAGAAAGATATTCTTGCGAATCCCCGCTTCCCTTATCTTGTTTAAAGGCATTCTTCACGTCAAGTTGATTGAAATCAGGGCATTTTGATTGCAGCCAAGGCAAGAATGCCACGAATGGTGTTTTAGCGGGCAAATCTTTCCCCTATCTTTTAAGGGGGTCGACTCAAGATTTTGGAAGGAATCCTTTAGCTAGCGTTGTATCTCTGACGCGAGCTATATGCTTTATGCTTGATCTTGTAAATCTACTTGCAGCCAATGGCTTGTTTCCGGCAATAAGACTCAGTCCAGTCTTCTTTCTTCTTTTTTTCCTTCTTCCTGCATAGCATCTCTCCAGCAAGAAAGATTTCAGGCTGAAGCAAATGATTCAGGTGAATGAGAAGATTGAACTGACATGAGGTAAGCTCTCTTGGGAAAAACTCTTTCTAAAGACTCAAATTCTGCAACGAGAAAAGTCGAGAGATCGACGAACCTGAGAGAGGGATCCAGAATCTGAGGAAGCGACTGGAAGGGAAGCAACTGGTCCTGACTACTGATCTTCTAGAGTAGTCCTAGCCTGGGCAACAACATAATGGTTTCGCCGCCGAGAAAAAAGATGTTGTGCCGGGTGACTGGAATCCTTTGAGGTAAACTGAACAGGCTGACAATCGACAGAAGATGCTGAGCAAAGCTACTGGCCTAAAGAGTGGGGCTGATCCGTAACATCAACTGGAGAAGAATGAGGTGAGAGTTGATGAACAGGAGAAGGCCGCAATACATCTCCATCACCATTCTCCCCCGGGGCTGATTAATTAGGTTAAAGAAAATATGAGGCGACCTCATTAAAGAGAACATGAAACGATAATCAGAATCTCTTGGATTTCACGTCATAGCATCTATACCCGAACTGAGCATATCCAAGAAAGAAAGAAGCGGTGGCCTTGGGGACAATTTGGCTCTTAACTGCGTAGGAATATGAACAAAAGAAAAGACGTGTGTGTATGCATCCACTCGAAAATGCTTGCAGGATGGTACTGCCTCAGTCAGAAGTTCGTGAGGTGCCGCTGCTTCCTACCTACCTATTACCTCTCGATTCACCCCCTCAAAAAAGGAGAGAGATGTCTCGTCCCTTCTTTATGCACATCTATATAAATAGCCAGACACAAAGGTGTATAATCCGATAGGTAATAATGGGTTCTTCTTGTTTATTCACTGATTGTTCTCTTACTTGCTCTAGTGGCTGGCAAATGCCAACCGAGAGGGGAGAACGAATGGCTCAGGAATCGACTGGTTCCGAGCGGACTCATGGAGCTGTTGGATTATCGTATCAGTAGAATAAGAGGATTTAGCTTTCTTAGCTTAGGAAATGATTGAACTTTAAAGACCGCCGCTGGGAGGCGAGGGAGTCTGATAAGATAAGGAACCACTACAAGGGGAGTAAGATTCAGATTACCTTGTTGATCGAATATCTCAAGACAAGAATATTGTTTGAGATTCGAATCACTCCACAAGCAAGATCGATCATGTCTAGCTTGAATGATTCTTGTTGATCAAATATCTCAAGACAAGAACTGATATGAACCAAAAGGCATCAATCATACAATATACTTCAATGAAGATGTGAAGAAAAGGTTGTCAAAATTATCCAAAGGTGTTCAATTCATGCCACATTGAAGAAGAAAGAAGTTTGATTGTTATAAATTTTGGGTGGGTTATAATTTAGAGTAATTTAGAGTTATTATATTTTAAGACATTTTATTTACTTTAGGTTACATTTACATAATGGCTAATTATGGGCATAAAGTATGAAGGTTACCACTCTTGTAATGCCTTTAATAGTTTCATTTTTTAGGCTATATAAAGCCATGTATGTTGTATTTGTAAGTAGACTTGGAAAATGTAGTAAAAGAAGCATTTGTGCTCTTCTTTAGCCAATGACTAAGTTTCTTTGCAATTCTATGTAGTTTAGGTTGCATGTAGAATCATTCAAGCTCGATGTGATCAATCTTGCTTGTGGAGTAATTTGAATCTCAATCAAGCATTCTTCAATATCTCGGCTGCTCAAGAAGTTGGACTAGCAGCTCCGCCGACCCAGAGTGGATTCTAAGAGAAGGGAAGGATGGGTAGAGCCTTGCAGTAGGAGGGTTTTCGTTGCTGGAACGGGTTCAAACAGGACTGAAGCGAGGAGGAATTCCATACTCCGATCTTACTTACTGAGGATTCAGGCTAGGGCTTGAGAATCAAAGCATGAGCATCCGCAACTAAGAGGGAGCAGTAGATCGTCGATTGAAGAGCCAGTTCAGTCAGTAAACTTCTATTGATGAGAGATTCTACGTCAGGGACTCCTAGCAACAAACTTGTATGAAGGGCCCCCATGGAGACGCAGAAGATGCAGGAACCGCCAGCCGGATCGACCCAACAATGAATGATAGGCTAGAGAGAGGGATAGACTCATTCGACTAATTAGTGATCCCTGGCCCTACCTAAGATAGAGATGCCCCTGAAATTAGGGGATTGGTTGATCGGAAAGCTCGGGTAGGAGTAGGACATTCCATCAAAATCTTTCCTCCCGTGGTCCTCTTTATTCTTTCACGAGGTAAAGCATTTTGAGTAGCTCTTTGATTGAATTTGATTCTGCTTTCAGGACGAAACAAATGAAAGAAAGAGAAGCTCATTTACCTTCCCCTGAACCTATTTATTCAAAGACTAGGTAAAGCTGCTGCTAAGGATTGAATTGACTCTCTTGTCCCCGGAACCTAATTTCACTCTTTTACTCGACTGTAAGAAAGATGAATGATCCTCAACCTTAAACCTTTTCCTAATTGAACGAGGCTCAGTAAAGCAGCTTAGCTTCTCTCCTGGACTGATTGAACTCGGTCTCTTTTCTCCTTCACCTGTCGGTCTCACAGCTTGGTTGGTTCTTTCTCCTTCAAACACTCTTTGACTCTCCCTTCTTCACTGTCAAAGATCAATACTCCTTTCCTTATTCATTCTCTTCTCTCTCCTTCTGGAACTGTAAGAAAATCAGACTCAACCTCAACCCTTCACCTCGTAAACTCGGTTTCACAATTCCATTACCTGCCCCTCTACAACTCGGTAAAGTAATTAATTCCATTTCCTGCCCCTCGGCGCTTCGCTTACCTCCTTCTTTATTCTTTCCTTGAACTGATTGAATAAGGTAAAACATATTCAATTCATTCTCCTTGACTCCTCTCCCTATCGGTCGAGCTGTTTTACTCCTCTCCCTATTTTTTGGTCCATTTTGAAGGTAATTACATTACATAGGCGGGATGAGAATCAGGTCAAGCTCATTCACCTATCGGTCTCATTGCTTCGCTCCTTCACCTCTCCCTTTCACGATACGAACTGTAACTGTAAACACTCTCGATTCATTCGAGTTAACTCCTTCATCTATTCTATTGGTCTCACTGCTTCGCACCTTTCCTATTCATTCTCCTTTTCCTATGAATTTACTCTTCTGTAAACTCGGGTTTCACTATTTGACGGTCTCTTCTCTTTTCTTTCCTTTGACTCTGCTTTCAAGACTCTTCAAATTCAAGAAAGATTTGCTCCGGAACCTATTGATTGATTCTTTAACTGTAAACTAAGACTCAAGAGTTTACAAACTGAACTCATGAACCAGATTGAACTCGGGAAAGCCGCTAATGAATGGACTCTGCCTGATGGAAGAAGGTAAAGCTCCTATACCTATTTATTCCTTGACTGATCTTGATCCTTAATTCTTGTTCCTTATTCTTTCACAGTAAACAAAGACTCCTTATTTATGAATGAGAGCATATTTCATCCTTCTTTCACCTATGGATTCTTGAACGGATCTTTCTCGTCTGGCTACTTACTCCCTCCCCTCTCTCTTCTCGTACCCCTGCCTACATTGGACTTCTTTCACTCTTTCACTCGGTAAACTAGAGGAAAAGAAGAATCAGCCTGAACCTCGGTCGGGCCCATTCACTATTCTTTCACTCAAGATGAAAAAGAGTTTACGAACTAAACTACTGAACCGGATTTCACTGTAAGAAAAGAAGAGGAAAGACTGAACTCAAGATAAATGAGACCTCACTCCTCTGCTGCCTACTTACTCAACCTTAAGCCTTTTCCTGACCCTTCAAACATTCTTTTCCTGTAAAGAAAGACGAAACGAAAACAAGATTCATTCATTCGACTTAACTCCTTGTTCTGTGTTCATTATTCGAAGGAAGTTCTTGTTCACCTCTCTTTTCTTTCACTCGGTAAATAGATAGTAAGTAATAGTCTTTCTCCAGTCCCTTCTTTCACTCCTGAACCTGAACTGGACCCTGACGAGAATGAAATCAGGGAGACTATTGATGAAGAAGAAGAAAAGACGAATCTGGCCGGCAGGAAGGAAAGCCGAAACTCAAGCAAGATTCATTCTTTAACTTCTCTCTGCCTACTTACTCCTATTCATTCTCCTGCCCCTTTGACTCTGTGACCTATTTATTCCTTATTTCACAGGGTAAAGCTGCTAATGAATGAATGAATTTACACTCTCTCCCTGATTTCACTCCTCTCCCTATCAGTCGAGTGGCTTCGTCGCTCCTAAACAACCTCTATTCCCTTGTGCAGTTATTGTGAGTTATTTAAACAATGATCTTTCTCCTTTCTTGCTTTCACTCTAGTACTCTCCTGTAAGAAAGAAAAGACAAAAGATTAATGAGACTGAACAGTCAGTCAAGACTCAACTAAAGATGAATGAGAGTGAACTCCGGCCGGAACTCTTTCTCCTTTTCCTATTGATTCTAGAACAGTAAACAAGGTGTGTCTCGAATCTGATCTTTCTCTTTTTCACTCGTTCTCTTTTCTTTCCTCTCGCTGATTGAAGGAGGTAAGGGCGCTAATTCATTTAGTCTCTTTCCTATTTATTCTTTCACTGTCAAAGAGAGGAGTCAGTCATCATTTCTTTGTCTCGAGCTTCAACCACTCGGCAATTGAATTGCCTTTTCCTTCTTTCACCGATCATTCTCCTGCACCTTCAAGCAAGTCAAGACTCAACTCTCGATGAATTAGAGTTTGTTTCCGAACTTCACTTATGAACCTGAACTTTACAGGAGAGTAATAAATTCATGAAAGAAAGGAGAGGAAAGACGAAAGATTAATTAGACTGATTTCACTCTTGAACGAGGTAAATAGGTCAAGTAGCTAATTCATTGACTTTCCCTTCAAACACAGTAAACGAAGAAAATGAAAGATAAGCTCAATCTCCTTATACTCTATTCCGGAACCTATTAACTGTAAACGAAGAGAAAGAAAGATCGATCAGCTCAATCACCTCTTTACAGGAGAGTAAAGAAAATCAGATTGAACCTCAAACCTTTTCCTTCACGAGGTCAAGTTGAAGAACCTGACGGGAATGGAAGAAGATATTCCTTTCTAGTCGAGTCAATGAATTCAATCCTACACCTATCCTTTTACTGTGTTTGAAAGAATCCATGAATTAGCAGCTTTGAAACAAACCGGAACCGGAACCTTTACAATGAAAGAAGAAATAGCTGCTTGACAGTCGACTTACAACCAACAAGAATTATCCTTCACTCCTTTTCCTATGGATTCTTTCACGGTAAACAAACTAAGACTCAACTCAACAAACAAGATGAATTCTCCTTCACTCAATCACTTGTCCCCATTTTTTAGGGCATTGAACTCGGGTTTCACTATTCAAACACGAAGAGTAAACAAGGTCGTCTTCTTCCTTCTTTCTTTGATTTACTCGACAGTAAAGGTTCTTCAATCAATTCATTCTTTCACTGTAAAGGAGAATGAATCTTGTTTCGCCTTTCCTTCCTATTCCTAATTCATATACTCTTTCTTTCACTGTAAAGTCTAATTCTTCTTTCATTTCGTCTTACAGTTACAGAGTCTAATTCATCTTTCGTGTTTACTGTTCAAGAGTTCAAGGATAGGTGAACGTTCAGTAGCTCAGGGAAGTCGAATGAGTGAATGAAGGGCCAGACTGAGGTAGTTGAGTCTCATAAGTAGTTCAGTCTAATTCATCAATAGGTTTATATCTCATTCCTCTTTCTTTCGTTTCATCTTTCTTTCGTCTTTCGATACAATCAAATACAAATGGAAAGGCCCAATTCATTGGGATTTCCCTATTAGGGCAGTTCGGGGCAAGTGGATCATTTATGATTCAGAGGATGAGCTTCATTCAAGAGAATAATTCGGAGTTCTTCTAAAGTGGAACCATGCAGTACCAAACACGAGATAGATCTTCCAATCCAAAGAACAAGGCTTTTTTCGAATCAATTCATTTTGGACCCTGCAGATCTGCTCTTTTTCCTATTCAAAGATCAGCCCTCTGGCTCTTTCTTTGTTTTCACATCGAGAATTCTTTGAAGATGAAGAGATGTCAAAGGGTCTTCTTACTTCCCAAACAGATCCTCCTACATCTATAATCTATATATAAATGTATCATACACAAGAAATGTGAATTGTTGATTAATCGTCAGAAACTGCTTCAGAACCTATTTACCGAGTTCAAGAAGGGAGAGGAGTGAATATGTGAGACCGAGTTTATAGAAGAGGAAATTAATTAGCTGCTTTACCTTTGACTCTCTTCCCCGAGAAGGAAGCTTACAATTTATGCCTTTGGGTTACTCTCGACAAATTCTTCTTTTCTTACTATTACAAATGTAACAGCTTAGAATAAGACAAGAGCTAACAGGTGACGGTCAAGGTATCTCCACATTTCCAACCGATAGGGAGAGGATTGATTGAATATGATGCAAGACTGTAAAGGAGAAGGAAGCGAACAATTTATGCCTTTGAGGTTACGAGAGACAAATGATGATTTGATTACGAGAATCTTCTTTTTCAGTTCAATCAGGTGAATGAGAGAATAGGAACAGGAGTAAGTAGCTCGACTCTAAAGGTGAAGGATAATTAATAAGGAAGAGTATTGATCTTTTTCTTTTACCGACTGTAAAGGGGAAGTAGCTCTTTTTCGGTTTCTTCTTCTTTTCTTACTGTAAAGGAGAATGAATCTTGTTTCGTCTTCTTTTCTTTGAGAAAGGTAAACTCTAACTCTAAGCTTTCTTTCCTTTGATTTTAGAACTGTAAGGAAAAGGGTTGGTTTCGGTTTCTTCTTCTTCTTTTCTCTCCTGTAAAGGAAAAGGAGGTGAAGGTGAAGGTTTTCGGTTAAGTCTTGAAAAGCAGCTAAGGATTGAATTCTTTTACTCTCCTGTAAAGCAGCTAATGAATGGATTCCCCCTTCAAACACTGTATAGGTTCCGAAGTGAAGGATCATTAATCTTGTTGAGTTGAGTCTTTCAAAGCAGCTAATTCATTTCTTCTTGTCTTGCTTTTGGATTGACTTCCTCTTCACAATCACTTCTTTCTAATAACTCACAATCACTGATGGGGATAGAGGTTCAGTCGCTTTACTTGATTCTCATTCTATTTCCCTTGTTCAAGAGTGAAAGCAAGCAAGCCAGCCTGCCAGTTCCTTCCAACCCAGCCAGCCCAGCAAGAAAGAAAGAAAGGAGAAGATCAAGAAAGAATGAATCTTGCCTGCTGGAGTCTTGCCCTTGTTCAAGAGTGAAAGCAAGCCAGCCAGTTCCGGTGATTGAGTTCAGGAGTTTACAGTCGAGTAAATGAATTAGTACAGTGAAGGGAGAGCCCATTCATTGAATATGCTTTCCCTTGGTCAAGAATAGTTCAACCTGAGGGAAATGGCCTAAAAAATAGGGAGAGGTGAACAAGGAGTTAAGTCTCATTCATTCATTTACAGGCAGGCAGGAGAGGAAAAGAGTGAAAGAAGGTTGTTCAGGGAAGGTTAATTAATAAATCAAGGTTCAGGGGCAGGGGTGAAGAAGCTCCATGAGAAGAGGCGTGAAGCGGCTCGACTGTAAAGGAGAGGAGAGGGGCGAAGCCACGAGACCGAGGTGGAGAGGTGAAGGCAATGGAATTGAAGCTGCTTTACCTTGTTTATTGTGAAAGAATAGCTCATAAGAATCATTCTCCAGTTTACCTCCAGAAATAAGGGAAGGGAATAGAGGTGAGGGAGTGAAATCTGGTTCGT